CTAGTCCCCTTAGGTATCCATTTGTGTAGGATATCCTTATCTTAAGTAGTAATGAGTTCTTTAGGAACCCATATACTTCTAACGATTTTTCCATTAGAGGTTCTTCGGGGACCTCTATGATTGTAGTTTTTAAAACTTTTTCTAACAAAGTTGGATTTTGAACTTTCTCCATTTTCAAAACGTTTTGTTCCAACTTTATCAAAAGAAGCTTTAAGATCATCAATTTCCTTTTGATAATCATCGTTGACCGTTGAAAGTAAATTTTGTAAATCAGAATTTTTCTTTTCAAACTCTTATAGTTTGATTTGTAAATTTTTTATTTTACTTTCAATATCGTTGTTGGCCTTGGATATGAGATTATTTTCATTTTTTCAATTTTGAAATATCATTTTTATATTTTAGAAATAATTTCTCATAATCCGAAGCCAACCCAGTATATTCCTCTAATAGCTCATCAAACGAATAATCTTCAAAATTAAATGAACTAGAGGTTACCTGAAAATGCTCGCCAAATGCCATCAAGCACAAGTTTACTACTTCTTGTTCCTCTTTATCGGAACCTTCTTCATCGCTCCATGTAGCAACACGAGCCTTGTGCTTATTCTTTGATTGACCCTTTTTCTTCAATTATGGGTAATCATATTTGGCATGCCATGGTTTTTTGCATTCATAGCAAATGATCGGGTCCTTTTCTTTTGGTTCATTCTTGAAGCCTTAATTTCGTTTGAATTTTCTTCCTCGGTTTGGCCTAATTAATTTTCTGAACCGTTTGGAAAACAATGACATTTCTTCCTCATCGTCATCTTCATCCGAATCACTCTCATCTTTTGTTGATTTGAGAGCAACTCCAATATTTTTCTTCTTTTCCGTCTCCTTCTTTGGCTCGTCTCTTTTCTCAAGGTCTTTCTCTTCTTTAAGCATTATTTCATGTGTGAGGAGAGTACCAATAAGTTTATCGAGGGTCAAGGATTTTAAGTTCTTAGCCTCGATGATCTCCATCTTCTTTGATTGCTAATATTTTGGAAGAGAGTAAACTAACTTCCTCACAAGCTTCTCATTTGGAATGATCTCTCCAAATGATTTGAGACCATTGACAATCGTGGAAAATCTATCCGTCATAGCTTTGATATCTTCATCCGGTTTCATCCTGAAATTTTCATAGCTATGAGTTAGAAGACTAATTTTAGATTCTTTTACCTCGTTTGTACCTTCATGAGTGACTTGTAGTTTATCCCATATCTCCTTGGAGGTTGTACAAGATGAAATTCTCCCGTATTCATCCGGTCCAAGAGCATAAAAAATAATATGGATAGCTTTGGAGTTGAGCTAGAACATTCTTGTCTCTCTTTCACTCCACAATCTTGGATGAGTGGAAGGTTTGATGTTTTCGTCTTCTATGATATTCCATGCTCCCAAGTCACTTGCTTGAATGAAGTACATCATTCTATTTTTCCAGTAAGCATAATTAGCTCAATTGAAGAAATGAGGCTTGTTGACGGGCAATGAATCAAGATCAAAGTCGTGGTTTGAAGTGGAGGCCATTGATGACTTGATTATCGATGTAACTCTTCCCGAATCAACTCAAGAGGTGATTAAACCTTAAAATTAAAAATATTTGCACAACGATTTAGAGTGGTTCGACTTTCTCAACCAAAATCTACATCCACTACCTTAGCTGTCCACACTAAGGATTTTCCACAAATTCACTAATTTGTCTTTCTTTTGAGGACAAAGAGTAACCTTACAAATCCCTCAATAATTATACCCCAAATTCTTGAGAACACTCTCTCCCAAAGAGAACAATACAAATTTTGCAAACTTACAAGAAAATAATCACAAGGTAAGATGTTTGCACAATTCTTGAACAAAGAAAGAATAATCAAGAATAATACAATTGAGCAAAATAAGTGTTCTTGAAAGCACAAATGAATATTGAATGAAATAGGCTTGAAAATGTTTTAAACTTGAGGTTTGATGCTTTCTCTTTGATTCTCTCTTGATTCTTGATAATTGTTGTTGATTAATGGATTCCAAGCTTGTTTAAATACTCCTTGGATCACTTCTTAAAGTTGGGGATCATTAGTGGAGTCAATAGAGCCGTTATTGTGTGAAAACAATATTTCGACCGTTATGAGATAGGGGGTATCGATAGCTCCTGGGGGGTATCGGTACCCTCCGAGCAATATGTTATTTCTCAGAGCCAAATCTTATATGGGGTTATCGACACCCTCTTGGGGGGTATTGGTAACCTCTGGACAATCTGGTTTTTCATTTTAAGATTTATAAAGAAAATATTTTTGGCTCATTTAAGGCTCAAAATACTTTGTAAATTTGTTTAAAAGAATAAAACACACTTTTACACTTTAGTAAGGATTGAGTTTGACATTTGAAAAACTTGGACTAATATTTTGATATTCGAATAGTTTGATCGAATATATGTTTGAAAATTGATTAAAAAATCTTGAAATCTAATAACATTTAATTTGTTATATCAAAACATCAAAATTTTTTCAACACTTTATCCCTGTTCGGGTTAATTATATATTGACAAATTGGCTAGATTGTACATTTCGGAGATCGTTAGACTTCATGGTGTTCCGTTGTCTATCATATCTGACCGAGATCCAAGGTTCACTTCCAGGTTCTGGAAGGCTTTGCACGAGGCTCTGGGGACTCATTTGAATTTCAATACAACTTTTCATTCACAGACTGATTGTCAGTATGAGCGTGTTATTCAGGTGTTGGAGGATATGTTACGGGGTTATGTGATTGATTTATGTGGTATTTGGGAAGATTTATTGTCATTAGCCGAGTTGTTTATAATAATAGTTACCAGACAAGTATTTGTATGGAACCGTATGAGGCTCTGTATAAACGTAAATGTCGTACTCCTATATGTTGGACAGAGTTGTATGATAGAAAATCTTTGGGTCCAGACTTGGTTCGAGAGACTGAAGATACTGTTAGATTGATCCATGATCGCTTAAGAAAGACATTTGATAGGCAGAAATCATACGCAGATAAGCGATAGAATGATATCGAGTTTGAGGTTGGGGATCAAGTTTTTCTCAAGGTATCTCCATGGAATAAAGTATTAAGAGTTAGACGTAAAGGTAAACTGAGTCCGAGATTTATTGGGCCGTATCGTATTATGAAGAAAGTCGAACCTGTTGCTTATCAGCTTGAGTTGCCACCCCATCTCGATCGTATACATGATATTTTTCATGTATCTATGTTGAGGCGATAGCGTCCAGATCCAGGTCACATTATTCATGTTAAGGAGGTAGAGTTGAGACCTGATTTGTCATACGAGGAGGAGCCCAATCAGATTTTAGAAAGGGATGAGCGAGTTCTTCGGAATAGGCGTATTCCAATGGTCAAATCAATGGACTAACCGTGGCCCCTCAGAAGCTACTTGGGAGACATTGGAGTTAATGGAGGCTCAGTTTCCTCATCTATTTTCATAAGGTAAATTTCGGGGATGAAATTTCTTGTATAGGGGAAGAATTATAACAACCTGGAAAAAAATAAAAAATATAAATAAGCAATTGGGTGAAATTGATGGTCAAATTTAAAACTTTTCAGAACTGGTAGGCCATTTTAAGAAGTTGAAGGAAATATAGGAACCAAGCCCTGAATTCCCCCTTGAGTGTCGATTGAAATTTTGTTATATACATTCCAATTTGGTTTTTTGTTTTCAAAACAAAAAACAATTCATCAAATTTCCTATTCCGCACCTCTCCTTCCAAGGCCGATTTTGACGCCATTCGACCACTGATCGTCCATCCAAAACCACCATCGTGTTCGCCATCGATCGATGAACAATACCCCGTAAACCGATCGTAGTGAAATGCTGTGAAACGCCGTGAATTTCGATTCAAAGTTTTGACATTTTTTTAACACCACTATCGTGAAAATCATCAATTCATCGCCGATCATTGCTCTATTTTCGAAACCTCCTGCACCATCTTGTTCCTTGTGCCGTTTCGAGTCCACTGGTGTCCTTCACGTCTCTATCATCGCCGACGCATGAGGGAGGTGAGGAAGTCAATGTTTCCGACGTGTTGAAATCAAGCTCTCCACCATTCAAAATTTTGAACTGAGCTTGGTAAGTGTCTTAAAATCACTTAAAATATTTTTAAAATTTTTTCGGGAGTTTTTTGGACACCCTAGGACTGTTCACATGCCCCCACGCACCGACCCTGTTCGTGGGGAAGGTTCAAAAATAGGGGGTGGCAGTTTGACCTAACCTGTTGACTCGACCCGACCTATTGACCATTGACTTTGACCATGAAAAATTAAGGAAAAAACGGTAGAAAATGAAATAAGACTTTAAATAATTGTTGAAGTTTTAAAATGATAATTTAAATGAGATAATTTAGAAACAAAAATTTAAAAAATATAGATTTAATATTAAAATAAATGTGCACGTGAAATATAAAGTTAAAAGGTATTATATCCCTAGATTCATATTAAACAATCAATTTAACTCTTTTACAAAAAAAAATACCATTTTAGTCCTCGAATTTGCGAATTACATCAATTTAACTTTCTAACATTAATTGTTAGTGTGCTGATGTGATCGTTTAACGGTACCATATGACGGTCTATGATTTGAAGTTCACATGTGAAAACATAACCGGGGTAACATCTAATTTTTTTACTAGTTCACAAAAGACATTGATTTTTTTAAAAAGTTTTAGGGAAACATTAATTTTTAGGAAGTTTGAGAATAATATTGAAATTTTAGAAAATTCAAAAACTTGATTGATTTTTTTGAAGCAATAATTACTCCATCCGTCCCCTCAAGGCTCAATCCATCATTTGTTGGAAAGAAGGGGATAGTCTGCAGTTTTGGAGGTTATAACCCTATCGAGGGAGGGTAACATAATCGTCAACTAAACCAAAATTAGATATAATAGAAAGCATTAGGGAAAATAAATATAATAAAATACATAAATAAGTACTAAAAATGAAAGTATTACGTGGGAATTAGTCCTTGAAATAATTTTAATACATAAAATGATAGAAAATGGGTAGAAACTAACTAGCAAGAAAATGAAGGCAAAGCCATTAGCTTAGATATCAGCTTTCCAAATCGCACCATCTCCTTCTCCACAAGATTCGTGCACGAATTTTATCTTCTCCACCGACTCACATACTCCACTGCACGACCAATCAAATGATGCCACGCATATATTCCCTGCTTGTGCCTTCCATTCACAATCTGACCAACCCCACAGTTCACAACATCATCCATTCATTCTTCTTTTTTACATAATCAAACACTGGTGAAGGCTGATCCAATGGCAGAGGGCGTACCTGGAGGTGTACCACAACACATGGAAAGGTCGTCCACGTGTTCAACTTCTAACCCAATCATCCATGATCCCAAGGACACGTCCTCATTGGCGAATCTATGCAAAATGGGGCTGCCCGTGCAAATGTTCCATTTCAACTCTCAATTACCATATTTATTATATATATACATTGTTGTATTAATATCCGTAATTATAGATGCATATATATTATATATGATGTCATCATATAGCACAGTATCAAATAAATGATTAAATCATATTAAAAATGTCACAAGTGTCAAAGTGTTATGAAAACAAAATGTAAATGTTATAAATTGATTTTAAATTTTGATCTCATATTTAGTACTATATGTTTGTATCACATATGATGGGATGAAAACAGAGGGTTGCATGTACTTACGAGTTGATGGAAATATAAGTAGCGAGATCCTTGGAAATGGCATAAATTTGTCCAGTGGCATGCCTGAAATAGTTGTTTCCATCTTCTCCAAATTTCCAATACTCAGGTTCATGATATTTCTCCCCTCTGCATGCATGCCGTTGCCATTCACATATATATGTTTGAACAACTCCTTAAGTAATAAATATTAACAACTTACTTGTGCGTAAGAACTGGTCCAGACTTCATGCAGCCGATGTAAACCCTGGGCTTTGCTCGGTACTGCGCAAGCGTGGTGGCTAGCATACCCAAGTTGACATGCACATCGTCATCCACCTTCACGTAGAAATCAGCATCCCAAATGGAAACTGCGGTGGAAAAATAGAGCCGTGTCTTGGTGGAGAGTTGGTGGTACTCTTCAACGTGGTTAAGCCTCAGAAAATCCTTGTACTCCGCCTCTTCTTTGTCCAGGGCTTTATCAAGTACCCCACCGGCTGTGGCACTGTGCCCTATCACAAATTTCATCACTATCCCTTTCTCTCTCTCCAATTTCCTTAGCTTTTCTCCTGCAAAATTCTTCAACTTACAGTTCCGAACTAGTAATCCTCGTATCATATATGTATAAATGCGTTAGGATAAACTACACGTTTAGTACCCTAACTATCACTTTTATTCTGTTTTGGTCATTCAATAATTGTTTTTTTTAAAATCATATCTAATGTTTAGTTTTGGTTTCATTTTGATCACCCACTGTTAAAAAATTAACGGTGACGCTAACGTGTCACCATAAGATAATGCTAGTGGCGGATCCACGGTATAGTTAGGGTGGGCACAGAATCCGGATTTTCTTCAATTCGTTTTCTATTTTACTCATGGTGTCCACTCTTTTATTTATGCTTCATTGCATACAAAAAAATTGTGTTGTTAACATATGTATATCTAACCTAAAAAATATTTCTAGATTTTCCACTGGGTAATGTCATGTCACCATTGGAAAAAAAAGTCATGTCAACGTTTAAGTTAATTTTTTTAATGATGGATGATCAAATGAAATTAAAATGTAACGTCGCGAATGATTTAAAAAAGTTGGGCAACCAAAATGAAACAAAAATGATAATTGAGCTACTATGAGAGTACTTATAAATACCTGTAGGCATCCATGTAGCTCGAACGGAGTCCCTTCGTTTCCTGCTGCTGAAGGCTGTGTTGATTCCTATAACAGCAAAAACCTTGTGCAATGTGTGATTCGAGGATTGTGGTTTTTGCTGGGAAATTCCAACACTCATACGAGACGCTGTTAATTCCATTTCCAAATTCGAAATTGTTTTCTCAAGGGACCTTATTTCGTACAGTGATACAATTAATGTCAAATAAAACATAGTTAGAACTCAAAACCCAGAAGAAATGACCAAAACAGAAACAATTGAGCTCACTGGATAGCCTTGTGAGTTTTGGACACTTCTCCCATGATATCTTCAGCCTTTCCTTCAGCTAATCTCTGATTGCAAACAGAAATGTATGTGAATATATAATGAAACTGAATGTAGTAATGTGTAAGTTTTAGAAATAAAATGGAGTTGAAAGCAACATATATATACACGTTTGTGATCATAGTCAGGGGCTAACTCTCCCAACTTGTTATGAGAAGTACTCCAGGTTCGGCTAGTAATCAGGGATCCCGCAAGAAAGCTAGCAAGACATAATACCATGATTGTTTTCCCGGAAAACGCCTTTCCTCGCATTTTCTTCGAATCGATTCTCAAGCTTCCGATATCGATCCACGCCACGACGATGACTGCATAACACACATATGTATATATACATATATGTGATACCAACGCATGGTTCGGAAAGATGGTTAGTATAGGCCATGTGAGGTAATGTATATATAAACCTAATGCTAATTGCTTCTACAGATTTGTTGGTAAAAGGAAGATTATTATAGCAAAGAAGAAGATGCATAAAATTGAAGAGAGTAGTAAATTATACGTACGAGTAGGTAATATCTGGAATCATTCAAGGTTTGGGCATCATGAATAGAGCAGGAAATGTTGATTGTGAATGGCTGCGGCTAGCTAACAACAGCCGTTCCTACGTTGGAACATCATAAGTACATATATATAGATAATCAGGTTCTCTGTGTTTAAATAAATTACCATGGAGAGCAGGGCTTGCCAGTTGAGTCATGTTGTTTTCATGGTTCAACAAACTGTTTGCTGCTATCAAAGAACTATAACAACTTCATTTCTTCGGGCAACGTTTACGTTAGTTACATTTAAATTTTTTTCTCTTTCAGCGCCTGTACCACAAAGTTAATAAAAAGGAAAATTCTGAATATATAAACACACATTAGACATTTAGACTCTTACTAATATCAAGAATGGGTTAGTTTTTATACACAATCACAGTAAAAATTAGTTTTTACAGTTTTGTTTATTTTAATCATAAAATTTTATCTTCAAAATCTAAACCCTAAAATTTTAAGTTCTAAACCATAAATATTAACATCTAAATCCTAAAAGTGGGGACTCTAAACACTTAAATTCTAGATAGAACACATATATATATTAAAGTATACAGACTTGTATAAACTCTAACATACTTCCATGATCTTGTGCATCATAAATAATATAATACACCATCATATTACATGTTCAATTTCAGATAGATCATGCGTATCGAGTTTTAAATAAATTACAAATTATTAGCTATTTATTTGAGGTATAAACTTTATTGTTAAATACAAGACATTCTCGATTGATATAATAGGAATATTAATTTAATTCAAAATTTGAGGTGCATGACAAATATAATTATATTGATAGATTAAACGGTTCAATTTCAGATGGAGGCCTAATGCACGTCGAAGATCTCTCTATTTGATTATGTATGTTTATAGCGCATGCAAGCAAGAAAATAGGAATTATTAACAATTTAATAATAAATTCCTACATCACACAATTGCTGTTAAGCCAGCTAGTAGCGACACCACACCAAGCATATGCTTCAACATCCAAGTTTCTTAAATTCCATAAAGAAAACGCCATTTTTCAATTTAAAATTAAAAAAGAAGAACAAGAAAAGAAGCAGAAATGTGTGCTACAAAGAAAATCATGGGATAGCCTTACATTTTTCAGTTATGGCCAATATCCTACATCCTACATAAATATCTCCTATACCACCTAATATAGTAAATAGATGCAGTCCACAGAAGCTTCAACAATGTATATTTCAAAGTTTTATCTTTGAAAAGTTTGGTTCCACAAACAATTCGCAACCCTAACCACACAAAAACTCACACAAAACGCGCATACCTACATAACGTTACACAAGACCTTGACATTCATCGACACTCAACCCAATCACACAATAAACATCCAAAATATCCCAAAAGACCCTGATGGAGGAATAATCAACGTATACCCTCAAAGAACACGACCCTGGACTTCACACAATCCTAGACAATTAAACACCAACCTCAAAAACAAATCTCGAGTAACCCCAAATTAACCATGTCACTCCTTTCCAACTAACACAACCCACCTTTTCTTCAAATCAGAATCAAATAGCGAACTACCAGATAATTCAGAGGAATTTAGATCAGATTTCAGCAATTTTAATCTCTTCAACGCTCGATCTCTTTTATTTTTCTCAACTTTCGAAAGAACTTTGTCTTGAATATCCAATAGCGAGCCAAATTTCTTCTGTTTCCTATTCAACCTGTTGGTCAACACCTGCTCGGAACTCGAACTCTCAAGAAGCCTTAGATTATCAGAATTAGACTTGGGCTGCCAAGGATCTGCTTCTGAACTTGGGAAGAGCACCCAAAAATATTGGCCAAGGCCTTGCTCGCCAACCCATTAAAAGACGCACTTGGAAAAACCACTGTCTTGCCTCCTAAACCAACACCCAAATCCTTGCCTTTCACGTGCATCATATTATAATTTATCAAAGCATTTTGATAGCCTCTCCACTAACACAAAGAAAAGTGCTTCCTAGCCCCATACCATATTATCTTGGATTTGGAATTAAAAAGACCCATGCTATTAGTAAAATCCCTTTTCACTAACCCATCAAAAGGCACAACCGGACAAACTTGCGCGTTGTCTTCTATGGCAGTGGACAACTCCACCTCAGCGCTCACGAGGCCACTACTAGCTGCCTCCAAAGAATTAGAAGCATCACATCTCTGACACCGTAAAACATGCGTATCAACCCCATAACGCACTGCCTGGAGTTCTAAATCTTGAGCCCATAACTCTTCACAACGAGGACCAACACCAACTTCCTCCGTAATAGGACACCTCGAACCACCACTAACGGTCGAGCCTTCAAGAAAATCTCGAACCTCTTCCTGACCAATCTCCATATGAGTGTTAGCACGAAAAGATTGAGTAGTCATACCAGCACCAACCTCCAACTCGGGAGACTTTTCTAATGAGACCTCAACAATCTCCTCCATGATGGAAGCCGGAGAAGCAACATCCCAAGCCATCGAAGACGAATCTTCCCAAACAGAATCTAGGCTAAAACAAGGTTCAAACTCAGAAACAAATATTGACACAATCCTTTCTCCAACTACCAAATCGATAGATTCTTCCACTCGAGCTTTGCAGTTCGTTATAATCTGAAACAAAGCCCTATCAAACGATCAGGGATTAATGGTCCCTTCCTCAATGGAGATGAGTTCTCCACATTTCTTTGCAATGTTTCTGAAAGTGGAATGGCTCCACACAAACGGAGATACCCCCTGCAAGATAGCCATGCTCGACGGCTGCAACATTGAAAATTCTCCGACCACACTTCCACTTTGTCAAAGCAAATTTTCTACGCTTCAGACTGGTTAAGTAGAGTATGATCCCTACTCTCTTCATCTTCAAAAATGATTAAAATTGCTAAACCTCTTAACCTCATAATATTTGGGCCTAATATTCCTTCCTTGTGCATAATAGCGGCCAAGTCTTTCATTTTCATAAATTTTTACACCACCCTACTAGACTTTCGCTAAGTGTAACTAGCTTGTGCTCATCAACAACACCGATGATGGGAGCCTGAGAAAAACTATCCACCACCATGCTATTCTTAGCCTCAGCCGGATTTGGACCCGAATACTTCTTTCTCCAAAAAGCTTCTCGAGGTCGAAATCTCGCCATGAAGACTTGAACTTTATTACCTTGAATTATTGATCTATCAGCACAAATGATGGCCTTCCTCGCATCCTCCAAACTGGTAAAACGAACGAATCCAAACCTACTACCTCCATTACTTCTTTTATCAGGGATGAAAGAATCGACCACCTTGCCGTATTTATCGAAAATTATCCAAAGACCTTGATGATGAATAAACTCTGGAATGTTAAAGATGATCACCGTAACACAATTTCTCACAAACGAACTTCTCACCTTATTCGCCATAAAGAATAGACTTATAAAAACGCCTGAAAATTTATTGAACACCTGAATTTTAGAGAGGAGGAGAAAAAAGTTTGGTTCCATTGTAGCTTATCACCCCAACTAACAGAGGTTTTGTTAACAGCTGAGGTAGGAAAATTTATTTTACCATATTCACTTGGAGGAAGGACTAACAAAAAAATAAAGAATCTCTACTACCGATTTCCTCGTAGCATAGAAAAAATTAAATCATTCCTCACCTCTTCAATCTAGAAAAAGTATAGTTAATTAGGACTTTATCTGTCTTAACTATGAGCAGCGTCAAGAGTTCTGTCTGCTGTTCTGGTTGAGAGTAAATTGTTTTTCTGATAGGTGTCGCTTGAGACTTTACTATTCTCGACACGTAACAGATCATATATTATAACAAGGTTGTAACACACTTTGCTTTTGTGGTACATTTAGCTCAGCTTGTGTAGCACGTCTTCCTTTTTTTTACCGATTTCGTTGAAGTTTTGATGTTAAGTACGTGGGATGTGGAGACGAATCTCGCTAATTTATGTTAACGACTGTGGCTAACATGTGGCATATGCTTGGAGGGATCTCAATATCTGATCTAGGTGATCGAGTTTGAAGGCCTTGAAATTTTAATTCGCATTTGTTGATAGTGTATTGTTTGAAGGAGGGAGATAATCTTATGGTTACTACATTGATCAATGTGGTTTTATGGTGTTAATTCCCAATTTACCACTTGGTTTTATTTTAGAATCGATGACAAACCTGTTGAGGAATGAAAGTTAAGGAATTTCATTGGAGTTTTTCTTGAATATGATACAAAGGTTATCTCTTTAGGCTACAAGTGGCACATGCAAATCAAGGTTTGGTGTTTTATTTGGAAGCCATTAAAGCCTGAAAAAAAAAATTATGTAACACCCTCAACTCAACCCAAAAATTAAACCTTAATTGGAGATCTCATATTACTAAATTTGAAATTTATGACTCGGAATTTCAGTTCAATTTTAAAACTTATCAAATTATAACTCATCCAACAAAATCATATTAAGAAGAAATGAGAATCAATCGAATACATGTATGCAATCACTTAAATACATGTTAACCATAAGAGAATTCCATCAATAAATGGAGTAACTAAAAAATAGGAAGGGAATTCATAACATTCAAGCTCAATTAAACACAATAGTAACCATTTTGAAAAACCATAAGACATTTGAAAGTACATGCAAAGTCTTATTCACATTGATAGTATCGACACTTAGGAATAAATATCGGTACCAAGTTTATGAGAATCGACGCTCATTTTGAGTATCAATATCAAACTGAAGTTTGAAATAAATTTTAATTTCCAAGGTATCAATACTCACATATTAGTATATCAAAATGTTACACAATGTATCGAAGTGTCATAATTGTACATGAATGTACCACAATGCAACTATTAGACTCTATGACATAATAATACTCACAATGCACCTAAGTGTTACACAATATATCGAAGTGTTACAATTGTACATAAATTCACCACAATGCAACAGCTAAACTCTATAACTTGCTAACTATACACTCATTCTCTTAACAAGTTTACTTGGACAATTTAAATCATATAACATCATATTAATCCATATAAATTACAATATTTTAATATCATACATTTATGAT